CATTCTTGATTGGGGAGAGGGGGGGGGTTTCTGCATTGTCAATATGCTCCTCCACCCACAGTATATGATTACCTTACTTGTAGGTGTGGGGTTTTGTTTAGTCAACATCTGGACAAATGATTAAACTTTCAAGTAGTGTTTTTCAGATTTAAATATGGTGGTCAGACTCCTGCTTAAATCACATTTATTTCAGAGAAATGAAGGCAATCAATCAGCAAAATACAACATGGTAGATTTTCTCTTTGAGAATAGGGAAAGGTGGGGAGGTGAGGGTCTACTCAATGAATTAATGTATTAAACCAGCCATACTTGGATCAAAATTCAGCTAATTCAGTAGGGACCAGCCAAATTTCGACCCATGCATTGGCAGGGTGGTTGTACAGAAGTCGATCTACTGATCAACCAGGGGCGGACTGACCACTTGGAAACTCAGGCACTGCCCGAGGGCCCGGGGTCAGTAGGGGGCCCCATGAGATGCCCCTGGTACCTTTTTCATAGGCTTTTTTGAGTTTGGGCAAGGACCCAGGGGCCCCATGATCCCCTATTGCTCGGGGGCCCCATGAGTTGTCAGTCCGCCCCTGTGATCAACTGTAGTAGAACAGCCTTGTCGGATTTTTGATACCCGATCGGGACCACTGGTTGATCAGTGTATTCTGATAGCGGGGAGGTCTTCCAACAGAATACCACTATAGCTCAGCAGAGAAGATTCCCCCAATCCACATCTAGTGTGTGGATGAGGGAATCAAGTCATTTTTTTTTTCAATTCAAGCTGCTGGTTGAGTAAAAAAAAAAAGACTCGTCTATGTCCAGCTTTACACAATTGTGTGAGTTTATGCTCTGAACAGTTTGCAGAGCAATCATGCAGAAGTCATTTCTTGGCCTTTTGGCTAAAATCAACTATGGTATCTGTTCTTATCAATGTCTGTGGGGTGTAAGCCTGCTGATTCTTTGTCCTTGTCTGGTAACAGGCATACTGGCTGGAGAGTATCCCACCTAGTATGATGGTAGTTTGGAGGGATCCTTCTTCAGGAATGTGGAAAACCTAGTTCCCTTAGCTCCTTGGCCCCTTATTAATTGTAGGTGGGACAGTAGCGCTTTAAGATGTATCTCTTCTCCAGCAGCACCTCAGGACTTGCTCAACAGGACCTATATCTCCACCTCTTCATACCTCTTCTCCAATGCATACATGTAAGGAAAGAGACCAGGAGGCAGCCTCCAAATAGTGTAAACCTGTATTTATTTGCAGTTAAAAATGATTAAAATACACTTACTGAAAGGTATTGCTTGTAAATCACAAGCTTAAGTGCATGTAAACACTTCTTGGAGCCTCCTGAACTCCAAGGACCGGACGTAGGGAGGTGGAAGTGATGCAATAAGCCCCACCTAACGTATTTCATCGAAAAATGGTTAGTTATAGCTTTGTATGTGAAGGGGTACTGGCAGGGGCGGACTGACAACTCATGGGGCCCCCAGGCAATAGGGGATCATGGGGTTCCTGTGTCCTTGCCCAAACTCAAAAAAGCCTATGAAAAAGGTACCAGGGGCATCTCATGGGGCCCCCTACTGACCCCGGGCCCTCAGGCAGTGCCCGAGTTTCCAAATGGTCAGTCCGCCCCTGGGTACTGGGTAATAGTAAGTTTTAGTGGGAGATGCTTTGTAACATCGCTAATGCACCTTATTTTAAGATGGATCTGCATGCTTTGGTCTAGAAGGCAAGAAGCCCATGATGACCCTTCCCTCTGGAAGCGATGCCCCGAGGTATTTAAAAAATCACTATGGGTTTGAGACCCCACTGTCAGTCCCCTCTGGGGAGGATCTGGGATCTGTGGGTTTTTTCCTTTCCCATCTCAATGTTTTGCCCCAAACCCTGTACATGGCGGTTTCTGCTGTGGCAGATAACTAAGGAGCAAGAACTGCCTGGCTTTGGCCTGGTGATTTATAGTACTTGGCCATTGTCAAGAGCCTTACACCCTGGAGGCCAAGCTGGCTGATAAAAAAAAAAATGAACGGATTCCCCTAATCACACATTCGAGGTGGATGAAGGAATTCCCTCTGCTGCACTATTGTATTCTGACAGTGGGGACTCCTCCACTGTCAGAATACACTGATAAGTGATTGACCGCAGCGTTGATTGAAGGAAACGTTTTCAATATTCTCATTCGAGAAAAGTAGATTGACTTCTCTCTAGCAGGAACGGACTTTTTTTTTTTTTTTTTTAAGTCTGCAGAGGTGCAAAAAAAAAAAAAACCCATAAGTGGACAAAAACCATGCAATTGCAAAACACAAACACAAAAAAGTGCACTTAGGGGTGTGGGTTAGTCCACCCCCCCGAAGGGGTAGGATCTCTACTCTGATCCCCTGGGGCGCAAGGCTCCTGACAGGGACAAAGGTTTCCACATGGTCCACGTAGCCAAAAGGCCTGGCGACCCCTAGCCACAGCCAACCACCGAGTACTAGGTCAGGGGGCTCTCCCGAAGAGAGACCATTAATGGATCAGAATTCAGACGGCCCCTGCTGGCCCAGCTGAATTTCAATCCATCATCTATGGCTAGTTTTATAGTTAATTGTTGGGCATGCTGAAGGTAAGTAATAAATTGATATAATAATGTGGTGCTGCGCTTACACATAAAACATCACCGAAAGAACATATGAGTACAAAATAAAATCTACATGAATTTATATATACCGGAACCCCCCCAAAAATGTAATATCTAGGGTGTACTTATATGTGACTATAAATCACAAAATTTATAAAAAAACACATGAAATACCAACGAAACCAAAGAATAGTGGTAGGAAAAAAATTGATAGTTTCAGTACAGTTTACTAAAATATCAAACTAACATATAATTAAAACAGCAATTCTGTCAAAAGTGATTGGATTTTACCATTTTATGTCTTTGCTAATGACCAGCTCCATATCTATAGAGAGGATTAGAGGAAGAACAATGGCGTCTACTTCTAAGAGGATTCCAAGTTACAGATAGAGATGTCCTGAAAGGCCCGTTTTTTCTCTCTGGAGACACTTCAGGTCTTTTATCTTAGTCCTTGCAGTTCCAGTATTTAGCAGGAATTTCCAACTTTGTTCATTATGCAGAGTGACTGATTAACAAGAATATGAGGAGACTAAGCTCGGGGTCAGGATACTTTGTGCACATTAACACAATTTCTAAACAAATGAGGGAGATTATCCATTGAAGTGGAAATTGCCTGCTGGATAATGTCTACTGTTAGCTTGCAGAGTACAGTTGGGCTCCAACATATCACAGGATAGATAATTGTGTTACCCATTGTGAGTAAGAAGTACATGCAGGATCTGGTGCTAATAGACATTGTGAGACCTCACCTCAAATCATAGAGCTTTAACCACTTCAATACCGGGCACTTTCACCCCCCTCCTGCCCAGGCCAATTTTCAGATTTTAATGCTGTCACAATTTGAATGACAATTGTGCGGTCATGCAACACTGTACCCATGTAAAATGTTTATCTTTTTTTTTTAGACAGATAGAGCTTTCTTTTCGTCATATTTAATCACCACTGTTTTTGTTTTATACTAAACAAATGAAAAAAGACCAAACATTCTGGATAAAAAAAAAAAAACGTTTTTCTTAGTTACTTTTATAAAATTTTGCAATTAAGTAGTTTTGCTTCTTCACTGATGTGCACTGATGAGGCTGCACTGTTGGGCACTGATGAGGCTGCACTGATGGGCTCTGATGGGGCTGCACTGATGAGGTTGCACTGATGGACTCTGATGGGGCTGCACTGATGGGCTCTGATGGGGCTGCACTGATGAGGCGGCACTGATGTGCTCTGATGAGGCGGTACTGATGGGGCACTGATGAGGTGACACTGATGGACACTGATGAGGCTGCACTGATAGGGATCCACTGATGGGCTCTGATGGGGCTGCACTGATGAGGCGGCACTGATGGGCTCTGATGAGGCGGTACTGATGGGCACTGATGAGGCGGTACTGATGGACTCTGATGGGGCTGCACTGATGGGCACTGATGAAGCGGCACTGATTGGCACTGATAAGCTGCAGTGGTGGGCACTGATGAGGAGGCACTGATGGGCACTAATATGCTGCACTGATGGAGCTGCACTAATAATCAGGGCACTGATGATCACTGCCCTGATTATCAGTGTAAACCATGTAGTGACAGCCTCGCTGGTTATCGGCTTTCCTTTCCTGACATGGATGCAACATGTGAGGAAAGGACTGCCAATAACTGGCAAGTCTGTTTACAATTGAACAGCCGTGATTGGACACAGCTGATCACACTGTAAAGGGACACTGTGATTGTCCCTTTACACCGATCATCAGCAGTCCCAGAGGGCAACCTATGCACCCCCCCCCCCCCCCCATGGGGTTCTGGGAGGACATCCATGGACGCCCTTCCAGAACTGGATGACTGCGCTGTAGCCGCCTTTTGGCTGTAGCATGGTCAACAAGGGGTTAAAGAAGCATCCTCTCGCTTTACTCCTTTTTTAAAGGCTTTTCTTACCCAAATTTAATAAAAGAAAGTTCAAGAACAAAATTAATCGGTTTCCCTCACAGAGGTTTTAAGTATGTGTCTTCAATCGAAAGAGCAAACAACAGTAAGCCTGCTGGCCTTTAGTCTGGTCCAGGGGCGGACTGACAACTCATGGGGCCCCCGGGCAATAGGGGATCATGGGGCCCCTGTGTCCTTGCCCAAACTCAAAAAAGCCTATGAAAAAGGTACCAGGGGCATCTCATGGGGCCCCCTACTGACCCCGGGCCCTCGGGCAGTGTCCGAGTTACCAAATGGTCAGTCCACCCTTGGTCTGGTCCCACAGATCGTGACACCGTACTGTTCAGTACCTCTCCCAAAGTTTGGTCCATACAATTAGCAAACCCTTCCTGCTCTGGATCCCATCTATACTCCTAGACAGATATCTCTTCAGTGTGCCAGGATGGAGCCCAGAACCTAGTCAGATCTTTCCCCTCATGCCAGGGTACTAGGTGTAATCCTGGACTCCCATCTGTCCTTCCAGCCCCAAATCCAATCACTGTCCAAATCTTGAAGACTTCACCTCCGCAACATCTCCAAGATACGTCTGTTCTTAACCTCTGAAACCCCTAAGCAGCTTGTTCACCCCCTTGTTATATCTCGCCTCGACTATTGTAACTCCCTCCTCACTGGCCGACCTCATCGCAGGCTATCCCCTCTTTAGTCTATCATGAATGCTGCTGCCAGACTCATCCACCTTACTAACCGTTCTGTATCCGCCATCCCTCTCTGCCAATCCCTCCACTGGCCTCCACCCCTCTCTGCCATCCCTCCACTGGCCTCCATTCAGTGTCCTCCATCCCTTTCTGCCAATCCCTCCACTGGCCTCCACCCCTCTCTGCCAATCCCTCCACTGGCCTCCATTTAGTGTCCTCCATCCCTCTCTGCCAATCCCTCCACTGGCTTCCACTCAGTGTCCTCCACCCCTCTCTGCCAATCCCTCCACTGGCTTCCCATTGCCCAACGAATACAATTCAAAACATTAACAATCACATATAAAGCCATTTATAACTCTGCCCCAAATTACATCACCAATCTGGCCTCCAAATACCACCCAAACCGTTCTCTCCACTCCTCCCACGACCTCCTGCTCTCTAGCTCTTTTGTCTCCTCCTCCCATGCCCGTCTCCAGGACTTCTCCAGAGCCTACCCCATCCTCTGGAACTCTCTACCCCAATCTACCAGACTATCACCTACTCTGCCCACTTTTAGGCGATCTCTGAAAACATATCTCTTCAGGGAAGCCTATCCTTCCTTCAGCTAATAACGGAATCTTCTACTCCTCCCATGAGTTATTACCTTTTGTACCACCAGCCCCTCCCTCTTAGATTGTAAGCTCCCAGGGTCAGGCCCTCCTTTCCCACTTGTATTGAACTGTATTATTGCTGTATTGTCTCCCGTTATATTATAAAGCGCTGAGCAAACTGTTGGCGCGATATAAATCCTGTATAATAATAATAAAAGCCCAGCACACAACTGCCACGTTAGATTTCATCCCTCCCAGGTTTCTATGAGATCTTTGAGCTCCAGGTCCCAAAGCAGGTTTTACCAACCGATGGGGATGCTCAAAAGTCAGTTTCTTTTGAAAGAAACACGTTCCCTGGAGCCCTTCAACCTGCTTAGACGACAATCCTGGGTCCTAACCTTGTTCTACAACATGTCAGAGTACAGCACTGCCACAGATTCCATACTTGGCTTAAGTGAATGCCGTGGGGGTGGGAGGTGCAGACGTCAGACATCAGACGTCAGACCTCCAGCTACCTCCTCCAAGACCTGTTGGATGATGCTTCTTCTGACAGTGAACACTACGCTAACAAACACGTATTTCCAGTTTATAAACAACCATATATTCATGGTAAAACACTAGCTAAAACCTAAAAAGCTAAAAAAAAAAAAAAAAAAAAAAAAAAACAAAACACCAGCACTAGTACTTAGGGCCCATTCACCATAAACACTTCCCTGGGACCCACAGCTGCTGCACATAGGCAGCAATTACAAGATGTGGTTGTACTAAGGTATGGACTGGTGGTTGTATAAAATGAGGGCAGCACAGTGTATGGGCAGCACAGTGGTTAAATGGTTAGCACTTCCACCTGGCAGTACTAGAGTCATTGGTTCAAATCCCAACCACAGCACCACCTGCCTGGAGTTTTCATGTTCTCCCTGTGCCTGTGTGGGTTTCCTCTAGGTACTCTGGTTTCCTCCCACACTCCAAAGACATGCTGGTAGGTGAATTGTCTCCTGTCTAAATTGTCCCTAGTATGTGTATGTATGAATGTGAGTTAGGGACCTTAGATTGTACGCCCCTTGAGGGTTAGGGACTGATGTGAATGTACAATATATAAATATAAAGAGCTGCATAAATTGATGATGGTGGGAAAAGTCAATGCGTTTCGGGAGTCAAACTCCCTTTTTCAAAGCTAAGATGATAGAGAATGCCCATGCCACATATATAGGGAGATAGGGTGTTTCATTTGGATACACGTGGTGTGGTACCTGCACTCAGTAGTGTGAATGGGCCCTAATACTTTGCCAATTTTTTTTAATTTTCTTTATAAATTTGCAATAAATTTATTTATTTAAGATACATTGTACAATTACATATTTTTTTCCATGCTGAACTCATTTCTCTTTTATAAAGGGGAGAAACGATCAAGAAATGCCACCTGGTTTTCACCCACTTGTCCATTTCTAAACCTAGGTCCCATACACATTAGGTGTTTTCTCAGCTTTTCTCCTGGCAGGTGAAAAGCAGCATCACAAATGGGTCTAAGCCACATCTTTGCAAGCACGTTTAGGTGAATTTAGGCACATCAAACAATTGGGCGTTTATTCATTTCATTGTCCAGAATATACTTTATTCCAGCCATTGAAATGAATTAACGCCCAATCACTAAATGCATCTAGCTCTTAGACATGCTTGGAGGCGATTACATGCGTTTAGGCACAGCAGGCATTTTTTTCTGCCAAAAGGCTTAGAGGGCTTAAAGCAGAACTCCGGGCAAAAACTTCTTTCTATGTCTTTGTTGCTGATTTCCTACCTTCACTGAATATGTCATCCATCTTCTGGTTCATTCAGTAGTTGTTCTGAAAAAGTTTATTCATTTTCAAATCAAACTGTAAATTCTTTTTGGTTTCCTGTGTTGAAGTTCGGTGGCTGCTATGCCTCCTATTCCCCCAGCCACTGGTCTTGGCACATCCCTTCTGTAGTTCTTTGCCCAGCAAGCAGTGATGTAAATCAGCCCCACTTGCAGTGGAGGGCAGACCGAGACTATCAGTCCTCGTGCACACAGGACTTTTTTACAGCGGATGTTTTTGGCTTTTGACGTTTTTTTCTACAGCCAGTAAACCCCACAGCAGCATGTTATCCCCGGCATGTGTGTCCATCCCCAGCATGTTATGTTATCCTATGTGTCCATCCCCAGCAATGTTATCCTGTGTGTCCATCCCCGGCATGTTATCCTGTGTGTCCATCCCCAGCATGTTATCCTACGTGTCCATCCCCGGCATGTTACTCTGTGTGTCCATCCCCGGCATGTTATCCTATTTGTCTATCCCCGGCATGTTATCCTATGTGTCCATACCCAGCATGTTATCCTATGTGTCCATCCCCGGCGTGTTACCCTGTGTGTCCATCCCCGGCATGTTATCCTGTGTGTCCATCCCCGGCGTGTTATCCTATGTGTCCATCCCCCCCGGCGTGTTATCCTATGTGTCCATCCCCGGCGTGTTATCCTGTGTGTCCATCCCCGGCGTGTTTATCCCCCGGCGTGTTATCCTATGTCCATCCCCGGCGTGTTATCCTATGTGTCCATCCCCAGCGTGTTATCCTATGTGTCCATCCCCGGCGTGTTATCCTATGTGTCCATCCCTGGCATGTTATCCTATGTGTCCATCCCCGGCATGTTATCCTATGTGTCCATCCCTGGCATGTTATCCTACGTGTCCATCCCCGGCATGTTATCCTACGTGTCCATCCCCGGCATGTTATCCTACGTGTCCATCCCCGGCATGTTATCCTACGTGTCCATCCCCGGCATGTTATCCTACGTGTCCATCCCCGGCATGTTATCCTACGTGTCCATCCCCGGCATGTTATCCTACGTGTCCATGCACACCTGGACTATAAGCAACGTTTTTTGGCTGGAAAAAAAAGCCAGAACTAGTGGGTTTCTAGAGGAGATTTTTAGCTGTAAATGCTCTAATGCTGAAAAATGCAGTAAATAGCGGCAAACCGGCATTTCTGGACTGTTTTTTTAGCAAAAAAAACGCTAAAAACTGCAAACGCAAAAATGCTAAAAAATGCTGAAAAACTCACGTTTTTAATGTGCCTTTACACAGCTAACGTTACCAGCGTTATTAAAGCGGAGTTCCACTCACACTGTCAAAAAACAAAAAAGTCATCAGCTACAAAAACTGTAGCTGCTAACTTTTAAAAAACAGCCACTTACCTGTCCCTCGGTCCCGTGGTGTGTCCCCCGCAGCCCGTTTCACCGGCCGTCCTGTATACCAGGAGGCCGGCATCTTCAGTGTGGGCACCCGGCTGTGATAGCTTGCGGCTTTACAGCCGGGTATCCACTGCGCATAGTCCTGTAGTCTTCTGGGACCTGTCACGTGTCCCAAAAGACTACAGGGAGAGAGGACACCTGCTTCCGATCGCCTAGGCCAGCGGTTCTCAACCTGGGGGGTCGAACGACACTTTCCCAGGGGTCGCCTAAGACCATCGGAAAACACATATTTCCGATGGCCTTAGGAACCGAGACACCGCTCCTTGATCCGTCTGCAGGTGTGGGCGGGATGACATGCCGTCCCTGTCATCTGGACACACCCCCGGGATCAATCCTTCCTCGTTGGTGATTGGCCACCGGAACTGTAGCTCAAGAGAGGCACACAGGCGGCCAATCACCGGCGAGGAGGTGGAGCTTGGAAAGGAGGAGCCGAGCGGCACCGCGAAGCACGAGCGAGTGAAGAGGAGGAAAGCGGCCGGAGAAGGAAGACATCTGACCGGTAAGTGTTTGTACCATGGGAGAGGGAGCGAGCGAGCGAGCCCAGGCTGGAGCAGGGGTCAGCAAGGTAAGTATCATTGGTGTCAGTGGGAGGAATAGTGCCCAATCATTGGTGTCACTATTACCAATGATGGGGCACTATTCCTCCCCCCACTGACACCAACGATGGGGCACTATTCCTCCCACTGACACCAACGATGGGGCACTATTCCTCCCACTGACACCAACGATGGGGGCACTATTCCTCCCACTGATACCAACGATGGGGCACTATTCCTCCCACTTGACACCAATGTTGGGGCACTATTGCTCACCCTGATGCCAACGATGGGGCACTATTCCTCCCACTGTCACCAATGATGGGGCACTATTCCTCCCACTGATACCAATGATGGGGCACTATTCCTCCCACTGACACCAATGATGGGGCACTATTCCTCCCACTGACACCAATAATGGGGCCGTATTCCCCCCACTGACACCAATGATGGGGCACTATTCCTCCCACTGACACCAGTGATGGGGCACTATTCCTCCCACTGACACCAATGATGGGACACTTTTCCTCCCACTGACACCAGTGATGGGACACTATTTCCTCCCACTGACACCAGTGATGGGGCACTATTCCTCCCACTGACACCAATGATGGGGCACTATTCCCCCACTGACACCAATGATGGGGCACTATTCCCCCCACTGACACCAATGATGGGGCACTATTCCCCCCACTGACACCAATGATGGGGCACTATTCCCCCCACTGACACCTATGATGGGGCACTATTCCTCCCATTGACACCAACGATAGGGCACTATTCCTTCCCCCACTGACACCAACGATGGGGGCACTATTCCTCCCCCCACTGACACCAATGATGGGGCACTATTCCTCCCACTGACACCAATGATGGGGCACTATTCCTCCCACTGACACCAACGATGGGGCACTATTCCTCCCACTGACACCCAACGATGGGGCACTATTCCTCCCACTGACACCAACGATGGGGCACTATTCCTCCCACTGACACCAACGATGGGGCACTATACTTCCCTCTGATACCAACGATGGGGCACTATTCCTCCCACTGACGCCAATGTTGGGGCACTATTGCTCCCCCTGATGCCAACGATGGGGCACTATTCCTCCCACTGACACCAATGATGGGGGCACTATTCCTCCCACTGATACCAATGATGGGGCACTATTCCTCCACTGACACCAATGATGGGGCACTATTCCTCCCACTGACACCAATAATGGGGCCGTATTCCCCCCACTGACACCCAATGATGGGGCACTATTCCTCCCACTGACACCAGTGATGGGGCACTATTCCTCCCACTGACACCAGTGATGGGACACTATTCCCCCCACTGACACCAATGATGGGGCACTATTCCCCCCACTGACACCAATGATGGGGCACTATTCCCCCCACTGACACCAATGATGGGGCACTATTCCCCCACTGACACCAATGATGGGGGCACTATTCCCCCCACTGACACCAATGATGGGGCACTATTCCCCCCACTGACACCACCAATGATGGGGCACTATACTTCCCTCTGATACCAACGATGGGGCACTATTCCTCCCACTGACGCCAATGTTGGGGCACTATTGCTCCCCTGACCCCCAACGATGGGGCACTATTCCTCCCACTGACACCAAATGATGGGGGCACTATTCCTCCCACTGATACCAATGATGGGGCACTATTCCTCCAACTGACACCAATGATGGGGCACTATTCCCTCCCACTGACACCAATAATGATGGGGCACTATTCCCCCCACTGACACCAATGATGGGGCACTATTCCTCCCACTGACACCAGTGATGGGGCACTATTCCTCCCACTGACACCAGTGATGGGGCACTATTCCCCCCACTGACACCAATGATGGGGCACTATTCCCCCCACTGACACCAATGATGGGGCACTATTCCCCCCACTGACACCAATGATGGGGCACTATTCCCCCACTGACACCAATGATGGGGCACTATTCCCCCCACTGACACCAATGATGGGGCACTATTCCCCCCACTGACACCTATGATGGGGCACTATTCCTCCCATTGACACCAACGATGGGGCACTATTCCTCCCCCCACTGACACCAATGATGGGGCACTATTCCTCCCACTGACACCAATGATGGGGCACTATTCCTCCCACTGACACCAATGATGGGGCACTATTCCTCCCACTGACACCAATGATGGGGCACTATACCCCACTGACACCTATGATGGGGCACTATTCCTACCACTGGCACCAATGATGGGGCACTATTCCTACCACTGACACCAATGATGGGGCCCTATTCCTTCCACTGATACCAATGATGGGGCACTATTCCTACCACTGATACCAATGATGGGGCACTATTCCTCCCATTGACATCAGTGATGGGGCACTATTCCTCCCACTGATATCAATGATGGGACACTATTCCTCCCACTGACACCAATGATGGGGCACTATTCCTCCCACTGGCACCAATGATGGGGCACTATTCCTCCCACTGATACCAATGATGGGGCACTATTCCTCCCACTGATACCAACGATGGGACACTATTCATCCCACTGACACCAACGATGGGGCACTATTCCTCCCACTGACACCAATGATGGGGGACTATTCATCCCACTGACACCAATGATGAGGCACTATTCCTCCCACTGCAAAATTACAGTTATGAAGTAGCAACGAAAATAATTTTATGGTTGGGGGTCACCACAACATGAGGAACTGTATTAAGGGGTCGCGGCATTAGAAAGGTTGAGAACCACTGGCCTAGGCGATCGTAGCGGAAGTGGGAGCGGGTACTTGTCAAATTCGGGTACCCGCTCCTCCCCGCCCCCCCAGAGGTGCTAATCCTAAATTGGGAGCTGGGGAGCAGTCCTTAAAGCGGAACTTCCCCTTTTGGGTGGAGCTCCGCTTTAAAATGTCCAGTATGCTTGGAGTCTCAGACTCATTCAACATGTACAGTCCTAGTGTACCTGCCCACATTCCCTACAATTCCTTGTGGTTGATGGGAACTGTAGTTTCCTTTACTGCAGAGAAAATAAAGAGGATGTGATGTAATCCCGGCTGTTACACTCCTTGGCAGAGTAGTTGCTCTTATCTTTTGAATTACAGAGATGAGGTCATGGAAATTCAATTCGATTTTCTCCTAAACGGAAAGCATTTTTAACATTGTATTAACTGTTTAGTGTTTTGAGTAGGGAGGTGTACTAATAGGGGATTTTTTTGCCTATCCCGGAGTTCTTCTTTAACTGTCTCAGCTTGTCATTACTGGCAAAACAGTCTGTGATGTCTATCAGAAAAGCAAAGAAAAGGTTGAATCATAATTATAAGTAGGCCGCAGACTTCTACATCAAACATTCCTGTGTGTACAAAGAGGAGTACAGATTGAATAAAATGGGCAGAGATCACCGACAGCAAAATCCACTTATTAACCTCAACTACCAGCAAAGCGGAGTGGCCACACCCCATCCAAGAAGGGCGCTAGTCAGAAGGTTGGCTTTATACTTTCTATGTTATAAGAAGAGGTCCTACATGCAGGGAGGAGAGGGGGAGGTCATCCATTCAGGATTTATATGACTTAAAGCGGAGCTCCACCCAAAAGGGGAAGTTCCGCTTTAAGGACTATAAACCATATAAATGCTGCGCTACATTCAAACTTATTTAAGTGAATGTGGAATCCAATAACTCAAATCAAAATAGTGACAATAATAATGAAAATAAATAATATGTGCTTAATGATAACAAAATTACCAAATAAACCACCCAAACTAATGAAAAAGCACAAACTTAAATCTATACGTATGTGCATGAGAAATACACATACATATATTACATCACACGTGCACAATGTGAAGTGAAATGATGACTAAATAATAAACGCAAACTCAAAGTCCAATAATGAAATGTTGAAGGTGAACAAAACTGTAAACGGTGTTTCCAATAATACTGTAAGGTGACCACAAGTGAAACAAATCGTGCAGATATCTGGGTGTAGATAGAGCTTA